GGGGAAGGGAATCTTTTTTTATTTTATTTTAACAGTATTTAATCAGAAAGAAAAATAAAGAAAGATTATAAAAAAATGTTTAAGTAGTCCTAGAGGCATCATAAAAAAAAGGAGAAATAAAATGTTAATTACAAGAACAATAACGCTTCTAAGGATGAATATTTTTCTTTAAATGGTCTTATATATATAATACCTGTATATGTATTATAATTTAAGAAGAGTATATATTGTGATTTTTTAGGTATTTAGTATAGAAAAAAATATATTTCTAATTCGGAGGGATTCAGCTAGAAATTTTCATGGAGTTATGAATTTTTTAGGTCACATTTGATGAAGTAATGAATTTTTAGATCAAATCACAATTTTGTGGAGTTTTGATTTCGCAGATCTTCCAAAACAGAGAAGAACTGAAAACACCTGGACCATGAAACAGCAAGAACAGTTACATAAGAATTATGATTTTTCCATTTTGCTTTTGGCTGCACAATTTTTAAGAAGAAAGCAATAAAATTCCTACAGAGAGTGGAGGTATGCGTCATCAACCTTAGGGAGGATGGGCGGGCACCCCTGAAATCCTTCCTTAATTTTGACAGATTAATTCCATTTACTTGTATGCCAATGCTAGAGAAAATTTTTCCCTGACTCCTAGATAAGATTACCTTAGGGAGGATGGGCGGGCATCCCTGAAATCCTTCCTTAATTTTGACAGATTAATTCCATTTACTTGTATGCCAATGCTAGAGAAAATTTTTCCCTGACTCCTGGATAAGATTACCATTGACAGTTGAAATTTAAGGATGAAAAATAGTCAGTAAATGGAGTTAATTATAAACACCATTAATGATTCAATTTCATGATCATTTTACTGGCTAACATTTAATAACTGGGCTCTCGATCAACCAAGTGTGGCTAAAGCTCTCTCACTCAATCTCCACTCCACTAGTTGGAGGGACAAGCCCGCCTCAGAGTTTCCTCTCCTGATTGTAAATAGTGTATATAGGTATGTATGTGTTTTATTGTAATTTATTTATCTTTAAGTTACTTTATTTATTGTATATAACTTTTTATTATTATTTAGTTATTTTCTTTCTATTTATTTTTTTACTTTCACTTACCTATAAATGTAATATGTAGTAAGGGTAAGTATTGATTGTGAAAATTTTTGAATCTGAGTTTTCAACAGAAATACACGTTTTGAGGTCCCCTGAGTCCAAATAACCAAGTCCCGCACAATGGTCTGTGTGTGTGTGTTCTAGTCAAAAATGAAAAGTCGTACTGAAGTGAAATTACATATTTACGGATTATATAATAGGGATGTTACAGCACCTTTTTCGTCAAAATCGGCTTACTGGAAGTGGCACTTTATATAATGGACTAAACACATTTTTACGATTATCTCGAAAATCACTCTAACAATTTTGATTAAATTAATCATATCAGTTTAAAATTAAACAGTTTTAAATAAAATATGGTCATTATTCTGATTGATGTTCTCTAACAGAGCTTAAATGGCTAATTTTCAATATTAGCTTCCTCTAAAGTACCTTTAATTTTTTTTATTTGAAACAATTAACCATTTCACATTAATTTCTAATATGAAAAATGGTTAAATATAAAATATGAAAGAATTTGATGATTGACTAAAGGAGAAATAAGAGATCGTAATGGAGAATAATTGTAATTTAGGAACCAAGGAAGACGAACGCACTTAAGCTCTCCCGAAAGATTAGAACACGCTTTCATACTTATCATGAGATTAATATAATATGGCCTCCGAGAATATTATATAAATATAAATATGTGGCTTTCATAAATGCTATTGTTGGTATTATTTAATATTTAATTGTATAGATTACAGCGATATAAATATTAAAATTTGTATATATGAGGGTACTTATAAAATAAAAATACCCACAATGAAATATAAATAAATATAGAGTCTATAATTTTTACTTTTGCTTCGCTTTGTTGAAAATACTTATTTCTGCTAAGAGGGTGGTAAGTGAAAGTTGGGTGATACCCTCACCACACCAGTTTTTTTTTTTGTACATATTGTGTGTATGTTATCTTACTTCCTTATAACCAATGTCCATATGACAGATTGTTATATTATTCAATAAATAAATAAAACATTTAATGACTGCAGTGCATGTGCTATAATTTGGAATAATAATAATAACTCAGGTATTTTTGCAGATATCAAAAGAAAACAGTAATTAAAATTATGTTCTGCTAAATTTCTGTAAAAAAAAAATTAATTGACAAACAAGTTGGATGTAAGTATTTCAACATTTTAAAAGTAAATAATTACAAAAATAATAAACCTTCAACACATAAGAAATTAAATTAAAAAAATTACCCCACTTCTGTTTTAGATTGCTCTCCAGCACAGGTGCAGACTTTGGGAGGGGGAGAATGAGACATCAATATAAATAGAAAGAGAGCGAAAATATCTTGAAGAACAAAGAAAAGCAAAATCAATAACAATTAATCTTATTTATTAAGATTAAGATAAATATAACAAAGAATTAATTAATTATGTAAACTAAAATCAATTAAGAAAATAGAAAAAGTCAACTAGATGGCTAAGGTAAGGCCTAGAAGTAGATATGCAATCATTTTACCACGCCCGATGTTTCTATTATTGAAATTTTAGTTTATACTCAAAGATAGTTACATGTAGCAACATATAACATTTCGTAGGATTTTGATTCATTCATGTGTACCCTTCCATTTTTATGTGAAGACCTTATCACATTTACCATGGAAAATTTGAAGCATTAGAGAATTGAGAGTTTATTTCACTGCGTCCAAACGTTAAATAAAAATTAAAAAATGTAATATCGCTACTGTTAGTGCAAAATGTATTTTTTTTTTATTATTGAAATTTACAACTTTATTAAATGATAACTACAAGTAAATATGAAACAAGTAACATGACATGTACAACATTAAGAGAAACTATCCATTGGTAGCACTTCAATTTTATTTCTGTATTAGAAGGTCCCGAGGCCATCTTCTTTTCATACGCCTCGGAGGGTTATCAGGAATAGAAGAGGAAGCAAGGTTGGAAACGAGAGGGTTTGGATGGTTCAGAAGTTTATTATGGAAGGATAGGTATCTGGATTGAGCTAAGTCGGAAACATACGGTACATTAAGGTCGTCATGGATGATTTTATTTGTGACAAAGTAGGGATCATTGAGGATTTTGGATTGTGGGGATTGGATACGAACAACGACAAACTGAGTAAAAAGAGATGAATAAGCATTGTTATGAATTATTTTGAAGTATCTGTCAGTAAGGTAGGAATGGATGAGGAAGTATGTAGGTGGTATGAATTTACGTAGTTTATACATCAGTCCCGGATGCCAGACTCTATCAGTGTAAAAGATCGAATGTGAAAATTAAGTTTTTTAAAAAAGAGAGCATAAAAACTGATTATTTCTTTATGATTTATTAGTATTATTTATTAGTTAGTATAAATTCATATTTTATTTCCCTCTGCTATTTTTCATAGTAGCAGACAACTTATTACACTTGCTAACTACAAAATGTCGTATTTTACACAAATAGAATTAGAATTTAAAATTGTTATATATGACCTTAAACACTAACAGTAGCGATATATTCAATTTCTTTGTTAACATATTTTCAAATATTTAAGGGTGGTTAGCCACATGCAAAAAAAACAAAAAAAGAACATATATATATTTATTTTTTGGGTGGATTTCATGAACCAACAACCAGAAGGGAAAGTCTCTGCTGAAAATCTATACTCTGCAACAAATCATGGTTTGCAGCACTATAAATAAAGCGCAGGAACAAACTTTTTAGTATATTAGATTGGACTTGCAGGAATCGGTTAACGAAGGTCTAGAGGACTCAAGACTCTGGAGCGGGCGGTGATGATTTCGGTTACTTTCCATGTTTCACTGCCACAAATCAGGGCCAATTTAACTTTTGTATTGAAAAGCTGTATTTCCTTATCTTTGGATATGTTTGAGTTCTTCCATACGGAGATAACTGAACCAAAGCCCCGTTGGCCTTCTTTATGCAGCTTTTCCCATATTCTGCTGAGGCACCTTCCTTTGTAACTATGCTTTCCAAGTAGACAAAGAATTTATTGGATTAAAGAACACTCCTTCATGGACGATTTGACACTCATACTCATTATATTGGCTCCTTATAAGGTTAATAATCTTACCGGGGAGTCCATACTGTTTTATAAGCTTCCACATTATATCCTGAAAATTTATCATAATAACTATTATAAAAGCATTTTAAAAATTAAGAGCTTAGAGAGACAGTTTATGTTTGGCAGCTATCTACTACAGTAGCCATTAGCTACATGAGCAGTCTACACCCCAAATCTCTGATAGAGGTTTGGTGTTATTTTATATTATATTATTTCAAATCCTTTGATGTGCTGTTATTTCAAGTTTTAAGCTAAATAGGAACCCTTTGTTTACTTTTTATTATTTAAAAAGTGCAATTTTCATCTTAAAAATATTGTTCCTCACTGGAATTTAATTACATCACAAATTTATGAGATTTTTTTTCCATACAATTAACACAATAGAAAATAATTAAAAATACTTTTTACTGCAGTTTTTTTTATTTTGTATGTAGTTTAAAACATACTATGTTCACAAAATATTTTATTAGTATAAAACTATCAAACTGAATACACTTCCTGTCACTGATTTTTTTTGGTACTGATCAGTTGTTTTGTTTTCCCACATAACTTTTGAATATTATTCAGTTTGTCAGATGAGCTTGATCATGTATTCTTCATGCATGTCAAACAGTCATGTATACATCTCAAATTTAATGTGGATGAAACAAACTAGTATTTAGTAGTATTTCAACTAGTATCAAATAAAACATCTATGTGGAAACAAACTTAAAAATAAATAATTAAACCACTATTCTTAAATGAATCCAAAAATTTAATAACAAGATCAAAATAATAAAAATACAGGGAAAAAAAATAATAACCAACATTTAATATAAGTTTAATGAATCTTAGATATTACAATAGAATTTGTTTTAAATTAAACAATTAAATAGATGTTTAAATAATCTTTAAACTTATAATTAAATATTTTTCCAATCAAATATTTTTTAACATCCATATATACACATTCTCACTGAAATTCATTTTTTTAAAGATCATATTCATTCCATCTTCTCTATTCCAATTGCACTTGTTAATTTTTGTATGCCTATGAAAAATATAAAAAATAATAAAAATAAAAATAAACTGTACGCTTCCAAACATCCATTCCCTTGATATTACGGTCACTATCACAATAACATTCAAAGACTCGTGGATTTAAAATGAAGCAATATAAACACTAATTAACTTTGTTAAAATATTCTTGCGAGCCTTTGGGATTAGGTTTAATGGTTGGTTTATCTGGATTCCAATTCGCAGGACAAACTAAAAAAAATAAAAATACTGTTAGTACAACAAATAATGAAAACTTAGAATAATAGTAATTAATTTTATTGAATACATGCATGATAATCAATATATAGTAAAACATTGTTTCAATAGAAACAGTTACCATGACAATAGTTGTTGCTGGAAGGAGAGAAAAAACACTTTAATTCAACATAATAGAAGAACACATGAGACTGTCTTGAGTAATAGAAGATACATCTTATTAAGCAATATAACTAATCTAATAATATATTGTTATGTCTCAATTATTTCTGAACTTAAAATGACTGATTCTAGAAATTATGAAATCATTTTTTTTTAGCCTTATAATTTTCCTCAAATTGGTACTTAAAATTTGTTTATGATAATTTAGTAAATGAAATTAAATTATTAGATTTTCTTTTTTAATCAGTTGCCTTTGTAAAAATAATCATGATAATAATGATTCTTTCAATTGTGTAGTATATTCTCAATTTTTCCAACTGTAACAGATTTACTGTCAGTATATAGACAAAGACATTGCTACTATCGTGACAATAATATCAGGTATGTGAATAAGTTTATGCTGTTTGTTATCTAGGAGATTATTGTTAACCTATGTGCTTCTGGCAACACTGAAACCTTATTCAAAAGCTAATCCTCTATACTAGGGTTATAACTCTATTTTAAATCCTCAAAGTACATAAAATGTTTTGCATGTGTGAATGGCATATAATTCTAGCGGAAACTTATGTCAATCATGCTCTATTAGAAAGAACATACAGAGTATGGTTTCAACACAACAAAAACAATTGAATTGGATTCCAGAGCATTTATTGCTGGACTAGAATAGGCTAAAGCTGTGTAAAATCGACGAATATTTAAAATCAATTCCCAATCCTGCAGATAAATCTTTAACTAGTATTTCATTAGGATGGATACAAAGATTCTTCTTCCAACATAATATTGTTTTTAAAACATTAAGCTGTGAAGCTGCCTGTGTTCTCCTTCAGTTAACCAATGAATGGTTTTTGAAGGTTTAGTCGCCAGTTTGTGAGAATTATCATGACTCTGATCTCAGAGTGTTGATAATTCTATTGTCTATAACACTGAGTTCAATATCTATTGAACATAGTGAAATGCAATTTTTTAACGAGGTGACACCCGACCGGACTTAGCATTTTAAGGTTGGCAATCGTTTTAATGGATGATCGCCTAGAGACAGAATTATCGTTAAGAAGTTCATTACGTATATAAAAAATAAATATGTCCATAGATGAATACATTACAGATAGTATTGTTATGTTTTTCTTTTTTAAAAAGCACTGTTTAAACTCCATTTTGTTCATTAGCCGTGTTTAATTTAAATATAACAGCTAAGGCTGTTATTGACAGTCACGGGTTGATAGATATAGGGACTGTCATCATTAATACAATTATGCTTATAACAACAAAGTTTATCAAGTCCCTTAAGGTCGTTATAAACAACATCCACTGCATATTAATTTCAATTTGAAAATTTGAAAAGTCGCCACGCTGCATTATCAGTATTTTTATTTTATCACCAATCATCTTGTAAATACTTTATTTTATAGACAAACCAACATCTTAATTTATATTCAGCATTAATAATTTGTTCTAAAGGGACACTAGTCCCAGAATAATAAAATTATTTTCATTCAATCATATCAATTGTAGAAAAGAGTTGTCGAACAACATTCATTCACCTGTGAACAGCTTTAATGACAAAAAAGAAAAGGTTTTTGTCATTGCATTGTAACTGGTGATGAAAAGTGAATACATAGATGAAAAACCAAAGAAAAAAAAATCATGGGGATTGTCTGGGCATGCCTCAACATTGACAGCAAAGCCGATCATTCACGGTACCAAGCTTATGCTTTGCATTTGATGGGATCAGCTTGGTGTCGTTTATTACAAGCTGCTTCAGCCCCATGAAACCATCACACAAGATCCCTGTAGACTACAATTGATGTGTTTTAGCCAAGCCCTGAAGCAAAAGTGACCTCAATATGAGCAGAGACATGATAAGGTAATTTTACTACATGATAACCCTTGGCCTCATGAGGCAAATCTGGTTGAAACTTATTTGGAAACAGTGAAATGTAAAGTTCTGCCCCACCCACCATATTCACCAGACATTGCTCCTTCTGACTACCACTTGTTCAGATTGCAGACTCACAGCCTGGCTGAGCAACGCTTTCACTCTTATGATGAAACTAAAAAATGGGTAGATGATGGGTTCCCTCAAAAGAAATTTTGTTTTTTCAACATGGAATCCATATGCTTTCTGGAAGACAGGAGAAATAAGTGGCTAGCGAAGGACAATACTTTGAATGATGAGTGTCTGACCATTTCTATAATAATGTTTTCATTTTTATCAGAAAACATGGGGAACTTATTCATACACCTTATATCACGGAGGAGCTGTCACCAGGTAAATACAATTTCAAATTTTTTGAAACCTCAACATCGTAAATTTTGTTATATTTACATACTCATTAAGATTATTTAATTTGAATAAAAATTATAAAATTCATACTAAATAAGTCATGGAATGTAAAAATAACAGAACTCCACCTAATATAAAAATTTGGCTATTTTGCATAGGTAAAATAAACATCTTAGTTTTTCATTTCCTGTAGTTTTTGATAAGTATAGTATTTTTTTAATACTCAGCGATTCATTTGAAAGCTTACCTTCACCATGCTTGTCAACAAACTGAAATGCCTTGATAAGACGCAGCACCTCATCAACTGACCTTCCAACAGGTAAATCGTTAACAGTTATCTGCCGTACGATCCCCTGCAAATGAAAAATTGATTAAAAATTTTTGTTAAAACAGAATATAATTAAGATCAAATTTTTGAATACTGCTTAAATTTTTATTACTGTAATATATAACCTTCCTTTCCAAATGTTAACTACCTACCACATTTCACATCTACCCTATTCTTTAAAATGAGATACATTAACTGTAATAGTTATATGTATAAATTAAATTGATAATAATGATAGTATAGTAGACTATTTCCCTAGATTTCTCCAACTGAATCAAACATGCCATTTTTAAACATATGGGTATCACGAAAATACTTTGTCCAGCCTTATGCAAATGGCTGCCTTTTGACTACTTTTTGAAAGTAGTGGATGGACTTCAATAAAATTGAAACAGCATCTTTCTTTCACTGATCCCCAACTTTTCTGTAATTATTAACCAAATCGAAAGAGTTATTTTTGAAATATTGGTCTGTTTTAGAAAACATATATATCCATGAGTATGCAAAAGTAACAGATGGAATTTGATAAAATTGATATGGGAGACCAACCAGTTACTAAACTGCACAATCTCTAAAAATTTGATGAAAATCAGACAAACAATAATAGGCAATATTTCCAGTACACGGCTTTGACTATAAACAGACACTTGGTGATGAGGAAGCAAAAATAATTCACAAAAAACTAATTAGTATTTTATTATTTGAAAGAAAAATATATTCATTAATCAATCATTATTACAAAAATACTTACAACTGGGTCGATAATGAATGAACCTCTGAGGGCAACTCCATCAGAATCTATCAAGACATTGTAAGACTTAGCAATTGATTTCTTAAAATCAGAGAGCAAAGGATACTTCAGATCACCCAGTCCTCCAGACTAAAATTTGAAAAGATTATTTGAACAATTAAAAAATTTGAATAGATCAATAAACCAACAGAGATTTAAAATACTTTATAGATAAAAAATAAATTCAGAAATGTTGTTAAGCAAAATAAATAATTAGAAAAGAAAATGTGATGAAATAAAAAAATCAAATTAACTAAATTTTGTAAAAAAAATATAATTTATTTTTATACTTAACATGTACTGGCCATGGTTAAATTAAAAATTTACACAGTTCGAAAATGGCTAAGGATAAAACATTCTTAAATTGGTTTAAAAAATTCTAATTAAAAAGGTTTTTTATTAATAAAATATGTCGAGGGAATATCATGATCTTTGAAAAACTTAATATAATTTTGATTAATATTAAAAATTAAATAAGGATCCCACTAAAAATGAACAACCATAATAAAGTACTTAATCGTTAGAAAATTAATTTACAAGATACCACTTCAATAATTAATTTAATAAAAATTGAATGAAATTATAATAAAACACAATTGACTTTGATTAATATAATTTACTAAATTTTGATTAAACAAAATAAATTTATCACCTTTCTTGGTGTATTAATCCAGGCCAAATGGCTAAAATGTGAATCACAAGATACACCTACAACAGATGTATTGATTTCCTCAAATTCTTTTATGCGATCACTGAATGCTATAATTTCAGTTGGACAAACGAAGGTGCTGAAAACAAAATATGAAATTTAAAAATGATCGATATAATTAATAAATGAGAAGTAAGGATTCAATGATATTTCAATTATAAATTTTATTGTATTTTGTAAAATACAATAAAATACATTACCTGGTATTATATTCTTAACATATAAATCAAAATAAATATTTTAATTCATTTATTAACTCAACTAACAACTTGTTTACATACTAACTAATAAAAACATATGTTCTTTTTAAAACTATAAGATTTAGACAATTAAAGTGCAATAGAAAATATGAACTAATTTACACTTCACTAAAATACCAAAAATATCAAATTTAGAATGTAGCATACCAACTACTATCTAATATTCCAGAAGAAACTATGAAAATACCATCAACCCCCAGAGAGCCAAAACCAACTCCAATATTTATAAAAAATATAAAAAAATTTCCGTTATTTTGCCAGCATTTAAATAAATTACTTGACAATGGTAAATACACATGTCAAAGTCGAATCAATGACACCAAGTTAATGCCAGATTCCGCTGAATCATATAAAAAAATAGTAAAATACTTGACTGATACAAAGGCGGAATTCCATACATATCAGTTATTCCAAGAGAGAGTGATAAGAGGCCTCCACCCATCAACTCCGCCTGAGGCAATCAAAGAAGAATTGACAGAACTGGGTTTCAGTGTCCGCCAAATTGTCAACGTATGTAAAGATAACAAAGAGCAACCAGTACAAACAACAAAATTGCCCTACCACTTTTTTTTGTAGACCTAGAGCGCACCACTGGGGTTGATAACACCTATAACTTAAGACGCCTGTACTATACTAGTATAGTTGTCGAAAAACCATATGGAAAACGGGAAATAGTCCAATTTCATAATTGCCAATCATATGGCCATACTAAAAGCTATTGCCACCACTTACCGCGATGCGTGAAGTGCGGGCAACAACATAAGTCGGAAGATTGCAGTAAGTCCAAGGAAATTCCTGCGATATGCGCATTATGCCATAAAGATCACCCTGCAAACTACAAAGGATGCCAGACATATAAAATCTTAAAATCAAGATTACAGACAGCACCTAGACAAGAAGAGACTTACAGGACTCCCAGACCACCAAGGCAACCCTCAAGATTTGCAAACAAAGAAGTCTCTTATGCTCAAATGTTAGGTGAACTAGAACAGCATTCTCAACCTCAGGCCCTGCCGCAAACTCAGCCACTACCTCATGGTTCACCACCCGAACATAATAATACCCAAAAGTTCAGTCCTCACCAAATATCCTACATTCCTCCCCCTAACGATTCCAATGACCTTACCAGCCTCCTTACATCATTCCTCTCCGAAATCAAATCCCTCATCACCTTACTTACAAACGTCATAGCCAATCTTATTCCACTGCCAAGAATTCCTTGAATGTCCTCAATAAAACCCCTCTCCATTCTCCTTTGGAATGCGAATGGTGTTCGAAATCACATTAACGAACTAACCTTTTTTCTACAGGACAATAACATAGACATAGGCCTAATAACTGAGACCCGACTAATTAACAAAAGACAGTTCAACATACCTGGCTACAAGATATATCGAACTGACCACCCTGATGGAACAGCACATGCTGGCACTGCTGTCATTATCCACCAATCCCTCTCCCATCATTTGTATCCCCTACCAGTTTACGATTTCCTACAAACCTCAGCAATAACTATCCAAACTTCACTTTTTCCTGTTACAGTTGTCGCAGCATACTCTCCACCTAAAAAACCAATACCTGAACCTAACTTAATTTCCTTTCTTAATTCCCTAGGACACCACTTCCTTATAGGTGCAGACCTTAATGCCAAACATGAGCAATGGGGAGCCAGAACCACGAATTCCCGCGGGCGAACATTGCTGTCTGCTCTTAATTCCCATAATAGCAACATCCTTTCTCCTGATACTCCTACATACTGGCCAACAGATCCTAACCGTAATCCTGACCTCTTTGACTTCTTCATTCACGAAGGCATAGGGCCGCTAAATTTCTCAATTTCACGGCTCGATGACCTTTCCTCAGACCATAGTCTGCTAAACCTAACCCTTTCCGCATCGCCTATCCCCAAATTATCTCCTCCCTCATTCATCAGAGGCCCAGTCAACTGGAACCTTTTCTGCCAAACAATAACAGATGCAATAGACCTCAGAGTATCCCTAAAAAACCCTCAAGACCTAGATAATGCAGTGAGTTCCTTCACCACCTTGATCCAACAAGCAGTCTGGACTGCATCCTCACCACTCCCCTCCAAAAAATCCCTCAAAAAGAATCCCTTGCCCCAAAACCTTACTGACCTTATTAAATCCAAACGCCAATCTAGGACCCTCTGGCAAAGAACCAGGCATCCTGAAGATCGGAAATTATATAATTACTATTCCAAACAGGTTAAAAAAGAACTGACGACCTTTAGATCCCAATCCTACAATTCCTACCTTTCTTCCCTCTCTACCGATGACAACTCCCTCTGGAAAGTGACCAATCTATTTCCCACCCACTCCGACGAGATGATGGAACCTGGGCTTCGTCAGATGAGACTAGAGCTGAAGAATTTGCCAAACATCTACCCAAAACATTCACTCCCCACACCGAACTCCATCCCACCCACACTGCTGAAGTTAAAGAACTCCTCTCTTCTCCGATTCCTCTCTCCTTGCCTCCTAAAGCTGTCAACCCCTCTGAGGTCAAATTCCATATAAACAACTTGAAACCTCGAAAATCTCCTGGACACGATCTCCTTACTTCCCAGATCCTTGGACAACTTCCCAAAAAAGCAATCATGTTCCTCACATACCTGTATAACTGTACCCTCCGCACAACTCACTTTCCTCTCATATGGAAACACTCCATTATTATCCTCTTCCCTAAACCAGGTAAACCTGTTAATAATACCTCATCCTATAGACCAATAAGCTTACTTCCGATCCACTCGAAAATCTTTGAAAAAATCCTTCTCAAACGTATCCTACCCATTCTCGAAACCCACAATATCCCCTCCCATCAGTTTGGTTTCCGCTCAAGACATTCCACTGTTCAACAAGGTCTCTGCGTTGTTGACCATATATCCTCTGCGCTTGAAAACAAGCAATATTGCACTAGTGCCTTTCTGGACATAGCGCAAGGTTTCGACCGGGTGTGGCATGACGGCTTGCTTTTCAAGCTCAAAACTCACTTACCCCAATCCTTGTATCTAGTCCTCAAATCCTACCTCTCAAATTGTTCCTTTCAAGTCCGCTGCGGCACTGAATTCTCCAACTATTATCCAGTTGAGGCTGGTGTTCCACATGGCAGTGTCTTGGGCCCAGTTCTCTACATCCTTTTCACAGCTGACATTCCAACCCATCCTAATACCCTTCTAGCAACATTTGCTGACGATACCGCCCAGACCCTGAAACAGCATCCCTAAACCTTCAAAGACACATCTCCCTAATAGAACAATGGTGCAACAATTGGCGCATCAAGATCAATGAATCCAAATGCAAGCATGTCACCTTTACCCTCTGACGCAGATCCTGTCCACATATCCTTTTCAACTCAGTACCTCTTCCCATCTCAGACACAGTTCGGTATCTTGGATTCCTTTTAGACAAAAGACTAACATGGAACCCACATACCATACTTAAAAGACAAGAGCTTGACCGACGACTTGGCCGTTATACAGACTACTTAACAGAAAATCTAACCTCTCAATTGAAAACAAACTATTAATATACAAGACCATACTGAAACCCATCTGGACCTACGGACTTGAACTGTGGGGGACAACTAAATTATCGAACATCAAACGCATCCAATCCTTCCAGTCTAAAATCCTCCGTATAATAGCCAATGCTCCTTATTATGTTACAAACAAAACCTAACATCATGACCTTAACATCCCTTATGTCCTTGACGTTATTCCATCCCGATTTTCAAATTTTCATCAGAACCTAACCTATCATCCTAATCCCTTAGCACAATCCTTATCCAGTTCCAGTCATCCCTACAATCCTCCTCGAAGGTTGAATCGGCAGTGACCTCGAGATCTTTTGTAAAGACGTCATTAGAGTCCTGGCAATGGCCAGCTTCTCCACTCAAGTCATGAGCGTATGTGGCTTTAGTGCCCTCTCTCAATCTCCACTGGATTCCCATCCTAGTGATGCGGCTGAGAGAGAAGTGCTGGGATCTCTTGGAGTCTTGCCTTGTCCTCCACACGTGGGGGAAAAGGCCCGACTTGGAGCTCCCTCGGCTGACTGTAAATATTGTAAATAAGTTTGAATGTGTTTTTTTATTTATTATTATAGTTTTTATTTAATGTTGTATCATGTTTGATTTATTCTGTTACTCCAAGTTTTATTTTATTTTATTTTCTTATAATCTTGTTGTTCTTTTATTGTATATATGGTATGATTGTACTTCATTCATCATAAATACTCAATACCCTTAATTGAGGCAAAATGTATTTTTTTTTTCTAAATAAAAATTGTTCATTAGACATCAAAAACAAAGAATGTTGCATATTCTAAATTTGATATTTTAGTGAAGTGTAAATTAGTTCATATTTTCTATTGAAATTTAATTGTCTAAATCATATGGTTTTAAAAAGAACATATGTTTTTATTAGTTAGTATGTAAACAAGTTGCTAGTTGAGTTAATAAATGAATTAAAACATTTATTTTCTCTGTTAAATCTTCCATGTCTACGATGTTTACGTTTCTTTTTCAAGGCATGTATATTCTTTTCTATATGTCCGCAGCGCCACTATTATATTCTTAACATATAAATCAAAATAAATGTTTTAATTCATTTATTAACTCAACTAACACTTGTTTACATACTAACTAATAATAACATATGTTCTTTTTAAAAACCATATGATTTAGACAATTAAATTGCAATAGAAAATATGAACTAATTTACACTTCACTAAAATACCAAAAATATCAAATTTAGAATATGCTACACCTGGTATATTAATAACAACCTTTTCGATTAATGAAGTTGATAGTTCGAACTACAACGAAAAATTAAATTCTAATACAGCTTTAACATTACCATAACCATAGCATAATGAGCGATTATTGCAACCTTTTGACATAATAATAATGATTATATATATTTTTTAAACAAAATAAATAGAATCCAACAGTTTAAATCTTTAACATATAGTGAAATCGAACATTATTCAATAAATTATGTATGGTGAATTCAAACATCACATGAACTTTTATAGTTATACAGGTATTTTTTTGTAATCGTTTTGATGAGTAAGTAGTGATATATAAGAAACATTAATCATTAAACCAGATTTTTGGAATCATATCATGGTCAAACATTTACAATAATTGGCTATGAAACAGGTAAACATTGAAACTGTTAGGTAAGTGTAGCAGATGTAAATGTTGACTAAAATACACTGAAAGAAAACAGGAGTATGGAAACAAAAGATTTTGCATCTACGATCATTGCAGAAACAATCAATAATTTTTCAGTAACAGTTTTTCATCTTTTCGACATCACCAATCACTAGGAATTCTTACTGACAAACATAACTGTTTTAAAAGAATTCAGAAGGTAATTTTATCCATAAAAAAAATACTTATTAATATAAGATATTATTTTAAATATTTAATTTAGATAGATAAGATTTCAAAATATATTCATTAAAATTTTAAGAAAATAAATTGATTATTAATAAAAGAAACTACCACCAGAAGGGTAGTTAAATGGAATATTAGCAGGTTATATTAGTTTACGTAAATTACTCCATACAAACTTAAGGAAGATAAGAATATTGAGTTCTTTCTGCTAACTGATTTCCTATCAATAATGATATACCTTTTTAAAAATTAACACACCACTACTTCTCTTAATCAAAATGTTGCAATAACTTTAAAAATTTAACAGGCTTCAAAATAATATAGTTTCCATTTTTTTTTTTTTTTTTTAAATAAATCCTAATTTGACTTATTCACTAATATTGAAGAGGGTAGTAGCGTCATTTCATTCATTAAAATTAAATTCCGTTTTGGTCTACAATTGAAATATTTCTGATTAAATTAGTCTTAATCCTTGCATAAATATTTCAAATATATATAAAACAAATTATTCAAAAGGAATTATAAAGTTAACAAAAAAAAAAAATTCCTTAAGGACCTTTAATAAAAACAAAAATTCTCATAAATGTTTGCATAAAATAGTACATATTGTCAGTTTATAGCAAAAAGTCATCAAATAATATCACTAAGTACTTTGATGACTTTTCCCTTTGTGAAATGAGAACTTTGTGGGCGTGGTAAATGTATTTCTGAAATATAAAAGTGTTTGTCTCATTTTGATGTCCTTATTAGATTTTTCGTTGATAAATAAGATTGAATTTCACAAAAACATACTCAAAAATTTAGATTCTTCAAAAATGTATTTACTGACTTTTAGTGATAAACTGACAGTACATATTAAAAAAAAAAGAAAATAAATCTTAATAGATAACATATCAGTCTCCATATAAAAACGTATACTTTACAAATCTCATAAAACATTTAACAATTATAATTTTTATCATACTGCAGTATGTTTATTTTTATTCTTATATCCGTAAGCAGTAGCTAGTGAGACCTATTCTACTTAGTAGAAAACATTAATAGTTGTCCATAAAAATAAGGAAAAACAAAATTAAAAATAAATAAATTAAACATAAAACTTTTTATACTTATGCATTTTTTTTTTACATGGAGACTGATGATACATTGTTATACTTTTCTTTTGAAATGGGAAAATCATCGGGCTTAAATCTTGCAATTCATGGTTAGAATGTTTAATATTTTTAATAAAAAAGGAAAGTAAGCCACAAATCTTAAATTAAGGAATGAAACTGTACATTTTTTCAGCAGTTACATAACAATAGCCATATAAACGTAACATTGCCACAAAGAATTGTAATTAAGTTTGAAGACTGATACTTACAAATCCAGTGGATAAAAAAATAAATACAGATATTTTCCAGTGTAATCAGCCAATTTAATATCCTTGAATTCATTGTTAATGACAGCAATACCATGAAAATCTGGAGCAGGGGCTTGAACTCTTGGACAATCAAGACCTGTAAGAAAAATGTAACAATAAGTTATATCATTAGCTTGAAATAAGGTTGGCTGTGCCTCAAAACATAATTTTTATTAAAATAACTTTGGGTCCAAATAAGAGAATATATGAAAATATAAACATATTTATCGATAGTTAACAATTTTAACTCTGAGACATGAATATAATGAAGAATTTTGTATTTATTACATAAAAATTTAAAAAAATTAAGCTTTGAGTGGTACCAATCTCATTCCAGACACCTATATATAATTATAGCTAGTAATAGTATAATGAGTCTAAATAAATAATACCTGTTGGAATAGCAGAAAAACATTTTACTTGAATTCTCGATAACAACTGAGGAGCTGGAGTTTTAGGGCTAAAGATATTCTTGCCCTAAAATGAAACATAGATTAATTATAGCTTTAAGTTTTTTAACATGAGTCTGCAGTTTTTGAACAGACAGCTGAATTTACCAGCAAATTTCCTGATCCAAATAATCGTTGTGCAAGTTTGAGTGACATCGTGTTTACTCTTAGTAGATTCTTTTAGAAGTTTTTACTGAAGTGAATAACTGACGCTTTTAAGAACACAACTCTAGAACTAGCCGGCCCAAATAATAAAAAATAGTACCTGATCAGGTTTCAAGATTGTTATATAACCAGCGAGTAGGGATCAAGCAAAAAAACGACCAACCCGTCACTCGATGATAACCGCTCCGGCTTATTTTGGAGCTATGATAATCGATTTTTTAAAAAAGAAGATATAAATTCAACTTGAAGTAATCATTTTGGTTTTAAATAAATTAATGGTTTGGTCAATGAAAATCAATTCATTTTCATACATAATAAAAGTATTTTTTTTTAATGGTAATTCGAAAACAACCGGCCTACAATTGTTGTCCATGAAAGTGAAACTAGAAAAAGCTAATTTTCAGCACAGAAACATAAATAAATCTACTAATTTAATTTTTTTCCACATGCAACTACCAATTGACTAGAATATTTTGATGCAATCAGTTTTCAAATTCTCTTTTAGGAACCTAAACTTTACATCATACAAAAATTTCAATTTCCTTGTTAAATAGAGCATCAAATTTTGCTAATTAATTCTAAATAAAACAGTTGATATCTTCTAGTCAACTAGGAGGGGCGTGATGTAAACGGATATGCTAAACTGAATTATATCTTTTACATTAATTATTATACTAAGTAATTGAAAAAAGATGCGCAGGATTGTAGCTCTAGCGAAATCGGGATTTAATTTTGGGGGTGGGAGGCTTCAGCCCGAAAGCTTTTTTTTCTCATAAAAATAATGATAATTACTTTGGAAAAAAGAAAGAAACTAACTATCTATATGAAATGGTGTTTAAGTGATTCCTTGAGTCCTTTTAAATGTAATTACACGAACAATAATACTTTAAGAGATAATTTTTTAATATATTTTCCCATAAAACATGGTTATATTTTACCATTTCGGGAGGGACTTCAGCCCGAAAGCCCCCTCCTCCTAGATCCGCCAGTGGTTTGTAGTGTGAACATTGGATCTTGCACCACCCATTACAGTGGAGCTACACTTTTAAAGTAGTACAAATTATTTATATCAGCAAATATTTGGCATTACGTTATAAAATCATTGTCAAAAAGGTATTTTTTTTCTAAAAATCTATCATAATATATTACTAATATAAGAGTAAATGTATTAAAGGAGAGTTTACTAACATTATATAGGTATTTTACAGATATTTATTCACTAAAATGTTGTGAAAATTAAGTTTTAGGAATATTGATTTATTTTTAATAGGCCAAACAAAATCTTAATTTTTGATGGTGATGTTCTCACTTATTTCATATTATACTATTTTCTAGAAACAGTTACACAATTGAATTATGGCGTTTCCTGCAAACTTCGTCAGTCCCCCTCCACTTTTGGCGTTGAGTAAGTTTGTATGTGGAAGGACTCGTGTTACTTGGGATTTTTGTTTTTTTATATTGGTTACTGTTGATTCTACATGAAACTTTAATGTGTAATTAGGCAAATGAAGATTCACCAATAGTACAGCAGATCTTAGTGGATATCATTTTAAACATCAGTAAGTATGGTAATGCTATACTCAATATTTCAGTTGAAAAGTTTATGGTTTTATTAAGTTTACATATTAATTAGTTTCTTGATGAGGCTAGAAATCGTTTTAGTTTTTATTAGAACTCCTTTTAATTGAATATTCAAGAACTTGAAGTTTGATAATGAAATTATATTTCTACTTGCAGAACCTCACTCTTTTCTAAATTTTTTGTGACTGTCCACAAAATTGATCTCCGTATTAATGGTATGTTTTCTCTTCTAATGCTTTTCATTTTTTTATTGATAAATTGTAATATTTCATTATAATAACTATCTACTTAAATTGAGAATATGTTAACATCAATTACATTTGCTTATTGCAGGTCTGGCAACCAAATATTTTATTCATTTTAAAATAATTCTTAGAGATGAATTAAAGTTGACTGTTAGAAGTTTTGAATGATTAGGCAGGAATATCAATTAGTTTTTAATAATAATATATGAAAACATTCTGACCCATGCTTGTGGATTACTACCAGAGATAAAAATTTAGCTACTTTTTATTTACATGTATGTATTCTATATGTTCACGTACTTATTTAATCATATCCTTATATGTTTTCAATTCAAATTTTATACTGTTGTTTTTAGCATACTTCATTTTTTTTAAAAATTTATATGTTAATCATTAGATGTATCTGTATCCTTTTCGCATACTTAATCTTTAATTTACTCTTTTTATTTATCTTTTGCTTTTGTCTTTGTACTAAACACATAAATATATCTTTAGTATTTATTATTTAATTTTAGCCTTGGTAATGACCCACAGGCTCAAGTAAAAATGTTGGTACACATAAAAGAGTAACTATATTCCAAGCTATTTATAATTATCATTTGTCCTCAGTTTACTTATTTTCTTTTTATATTAATAATGTTTAAGTTAGATTATTAGAACTATAGTTTTCTAGAGAGAACTACTATAATATTTGCTTGGCTGCTAAACTGTGTTGAATTGCAAAATTCATCACACCGCATACTCTTATCAATCAACAGATATTGTTTAAAACATTTTATAAAAAGATAGTTAGGTTGGACCATTTTAATATATAGCAAATATGTCAAGCAGTGTACAAAATAACACATGCAAAGGCATAGATCGATATATCTGGTGATGGAGAAATCCCAATGAGTCTAAAAAATAGTATCTGCCATTGGCTCCGTCTGTCCCCTTCCACCACCGAAGACAAGAAATCACTTGTCACTTGTAAATAAGAGGGATGGTTCCCTTACTTTCGAACTACGGTCCTTTAACTGAGAAGTTTCTTTCTCCGGCTTTATCCTTATATTTTTCTTATATTAAGAAGATTATGCATTTCTTATTGATAACCTCTTTCCTGCTTGCACCTTAATCTCTTGATTTTGATTGTTGTTTTCAAACCTGATCGATAGATCAACTATAAGCACTTCCTTTTCTGTTGCATTAAACACTATAAGGTCACAGAAGAATATTCATTTTAAATAATATTGAAATAAGATTGCTTATTGTTTTTAATCTGGTGATAAGGAGTTTAGGTAACACTATGGTATTGTCATGTCTGGATGACAAGTGGTCCAAGATCACAATGTACATGGAATGCCAAAGCTAGCTTTGAACAGTTTAGATAGCCAATAAATTAGACTGAATAAGATGACCTGGAGATTTAAATGCAATGTAATGAAAACATCTGTTATTGGAATAGTCTAATCTAATAAATTTAACAAAAAAATTAAGTTTTTATATAAGCAAAGCCTGCTTTAGGTAGGGGAACCTGGGCACTTCAGCAGTTGGCCCAAGTGGTGAGCCTATTTCATGTTGAGGGTTATAAAAAATTAGAAATCCTTTAAATATAACAACTTAGTTAGAGTCATATTTAAAAAAATGTAATCTAAATATAAAAGCAGTATGCAATGTTCTTAACGTGTGCCTCATTTCCCATTCCTAAATTATAATTTTTACTTTCACTTATCTGTATATGTATTATATAGTAAGGAAAAGTATTGCGATAGTGAAAATTTTCGAATCTGATTTTTCAATAGAAAAACACGTTTTGAGGTCCCCCGAGTCCAAATAACCGATTCCCGCAAAATCGTTTGTTTATGTGTATATGTTAGCAGTCTAGCTCCAAAATGAAAAGTCGTAAGAAAGTGAAATTGCATATTAAAGGTTTTTATATGCCTGAGATGTTACAGCAACTTTTTCTTCAAAATAGGCTGACTGAAAGTGGCGCTTTATGTCATCGATGTAACACATTTTTACGATTTTCCCAAAAATGGCTAACGATTTTAATTAAACTCGGTGTGTCAGTGTATTATTAAGTTCTTTTTAATATCAGCTAGATTTTATCCACATTTATGTCACTTTTACAGGGCTTAAATGTCCAATGCTCATATACGTCTTCCTCTAAAGTATAGTGCATCTATTTTAAGTTTTAGTATAGGAGAAGGAGAATTGCAGCTTTCACTCGCTCAAATTCCACCTCCCCAAGACTTCTCTCTAGCTCCACTTCCTCACCTCTTCACCATAGTAACCACCTTATACCGGTAAAGGGTTATTCCATTCTCTTCAAATTTTGCTCAAATGTTTATTAAAGGTAGGTATTTTAATTAAAAAATAAAATAAAACAGAAAAGGATGGTTAAATAATCAAATTAAGAAATAATATATATGAAATCTGTTCACAGAACTCGATGTTATTACTAGAATATGTAGATCTAAATTTACTGAGAAATAGATCTTAAAAAAATGTAAAAATAGATGGAAAATATAGAACAGAAAACAATCCGATACTATGTTATTGGATATTCAATAGTGGGGGGGTCTTTTTCATTTACTTCTGAATGTAAACAAAGAGAATTGTCCATATTATGTACTATTTTACACTACTGTATTAGCTCGAATAAAATAAATCGCTATATGTAAACAGCCAATCTTAATGTGAATCAATGCAAGAAATAGGAAAAAAATGATAAAAGAAATTTCTACTTGTAAAAAAAATTTAGAAGTATGTATGAATGAGTAGAGAAGACAAAAGAGTGGAGGATAGGCGGGAAAATGTTTTGCCACTGCTCGTCTCTCTACCCTTCTACCAACCCACAAACTTATCTTAGACAGAATCTGATATACGTATAATATATTGTTAGAAAGCGGACAATTTTAGAAAAGACAATTCTCTCTAATATAGAAAGTTGTAGAAGGTAATGGAAAGTGACGAACAAATATAAATAATAATTTGTGAAAAATAATATTATTTAACAGAAATCACATGTTTCAAAGGAAATTTAATGAAACTTACTTACTAAATAAAAAAATTTTAAGTTTGAAAAAAAGTATTTAAAATCCACCAAATCAAGCCAATGACATTGTTAAAAAAACTATTTCATTGTGCTTGTGTGAAAGATGTGAAATTTAAAAATATTTCATGGTTCGTGTAAAACATATGCTTATAAACTTAAATACATTTACTGTAGTTTATAATAACTCTAGATCCGATATTATATTTAAATAATAAGGTATAGATTGTTGATTTATTCCAAAAAAAATTTCTTTGTGAAATCACATTATACACTTCCAATTAGTGTGACAACGTTTGACCTATCGATGCTATAG